TCACCTTTTTCAATTTTCATGTATGTGAAATGTACAAGGGATAAAAAATGAGGACTCCAGTTTCTCAGTCGTTCTGTGTAGGAGCATGTTCTACAGCCTATTCTACTGCATTATGAAGGAATATGTATGTTCATGAATACATTTGATCAGATACATGGATCTCCTTGTCTGGCCAGATGTATCGACAACAGTCACATATTCCTGTCAGTCGCTGGGTTTATTGTTTGTGCAGCTAGAGAATAACACAGTCGTTGCACTGGACTCTACCTTGCGTTTGTAGCCGACTGTATGTTGAGAGAACCCCTCTGCGGGAATATTGAGCATTCCGTAAGCCACCTTGGCAGCGCCCTGGTTTTGTTTTGCAGCGCACGGCCAGCCTGCCCATCCATTGGTGAACTCTCCCAGTGCAGTACGAGACAACACTTATGGCAGAGAGAAAAGTGCGCCAGAGTGCTCAGGAATGGAAGGGAATCGATGTGGCCAGGGAGGTTAACGATTTCTCTAACACAGCGATGCAAAAATACAAAGACAAAAATCATCCACTAGAAATTTCAAAATAAAAACATGGCTGATTGCAAAATCAGGTTCCAATCACTAAAAACCACTGACTTTAACAAAAATAATTTGAATAGTTTTATGAATCTATTTTATTTTAAATCCCTCTTTTATTGTCTGCTTATGTTACAGTTAAGTAGCAGTAATTTATTGAAACTACTAACAACCTTTTTATGAAAATGATCATTCTCAGCTTTCATTTTCCCTCTGCATGACCCGTTTTATCCAAGTTTCAGCATTTCTTGCATATTGTTTGCATAAGGCTGAGAGAAATGGACAAAGAGAAGTAACTTTGGATAAATAAAAAATATAGGTTCATGGAAAGTGGGAAGCTTATAAAAATGTCACTAAAATTATATTGATTTAAACAAACTTACATACATCTCTTGTCAAATAAAGGCTGAAATTCACGCTTTTATGACATTTATTTAGAGTCACGAGCTAGCTCGGTGACTTGGTAATAGAATGCATCTATTTAGGAAATTTATAGTCTGGCGACTGGTTTTCTTTTTTGAACAAAGAAAATTCGAGCAAATCATTGCACAACTAGTTTAAATAGTGCTACCTCAAAATGGCATTTTTGCCAAGATTGTTTTGAATTTGGTGAAGTTTTAGTGCTTCAAGCTTTTCTTTCCTTAAATTCACTTAAAAGTGAACTCTAAATCTGCCAGCAATATAAAAAACTGTTGTGGCACCTAATATATCTACCCTGAACATCCCTCATTGGACCTCTACTAAAAAATAATCCTTAATTTTTTTTCAGTGCTTTAAATGTGACATGAAAACAGCTGTATTCTAGGTTTACATTCTCTGCACATCTATGCCAGATGTTTAAGTAGTTAAATAAAACAGGAGGTTACATCAAAGTGTCAAGAGATACAACAATCCATTTAGCACTGAAAACGCTCCAACCTCCTTTCACTCAAAGCCATCCACAGCTTGAATGCATCCTTTCTGGCTTCTGAAGATCAGGTCTGTTCTTTGTTGAGGCACTGGCACAGGTTGTGCAAAAACCCATTTGGATACACAAATCATTTCAAACAGGAAGTACTCAAATCCACTTTTTCCACTAACAATGTTATGGTTTTGGGAAACAGAAACTCCGTGGTTAAAAGAACAGGCAGAGCAAAAGCAACAGCCATCACAGTCGCCAGGGTCAGGCAAAACTGTATGTTTTGAATGTTGACAGCTGGGGACACAAGCAAAGGGGAGGTCAAATTTTGTCCCTTAGTTCGCTGAAGACCAGAGGAAGATTCTCCCGGGTTCACGGTCAAATTTTGTCCCTTAGTTCGCTGAAGTCCAGAGGAAGATTCCCCCGGGTTCATGCCCTATGGGAGCTGACTACGGACTCTCCGTGGGTCTGTTTCTGAACGCTAGATCATACAGGGACCCTCCGGCTGTGCCTAGCACGTGCCCGCACCTCACACTGGCTATCGGTAACGTTAGCAAACGCCTGTCGGTGCTCAGGTGAAAGGGTGGGGCGATGCTTTGGACAAAACGTGAGGGAGCCAAAAGGCGTGTTGGAAACGAGCGCTCAGCCAACAGGAGTGCAGGGTGACGCGCGTACTTGGGCTTGTACACGGCCTCAGAAAAGCCAAGGGCTTTCAACTCCGCTGACCTCGCTCAGCAGCCAGAATGTCCTCCCAGGAGCCTCTCTGCCCCGAGGCCCTTCAGCCCCCACGGAACGAGCAGCCCGGCCTGCCCACATTTCCCTGGCACGCAGCGGAGGAGATTCTGCCTTTCCTGGGGGTGGGGGGAGTCCGTGGCCCCTCGGGTTAGAAGTTGAACAGTGACCCTACTAATTTCAGCCTGAACGTGACCGAGTTACAGTCGTAACACCCCTCCCCCTCTGCTCCCCTCAGCAACCAGCAGCCTGCACTGTGTTTATGAACAGCTTGGCCGTAGGGCACACAGCTTTCTCCCCTCGGGAACGGGACCTGTGCCTTTTCGAGCAGAGGGCCAGGGATATTCTGGCCAAGGCAGCTGCAGGCCTCCAGCCATGGCAGGAAAAACAAGCTACTGCTGGATGGGAAAGGCCAGGCAGGTTCCTTGGAGCATCCCTCCGCCAGCGGACACGTCCCCCACGGGTCTCGGTGTGCCGCGCCATACCGGGGCACGTGGCTGCCCATTCCAGGCTGTGACTGAGCTTGCAGTTGGGGATTTTTTTTCCTCTCAGATTTTGTCCCATATCTCCTAACGCCCCCAGGTACGTCCCTGAACAGTTACTTGCTGTTTACCCCGTTCCGTTATCAGAAATTTACAGGACAAATACATCTCCGGCCCAAGTCCACTGAGGTCAGTGGAGTTATGCTGGGGATGAACACGGCAACGACCTCTCTGCGCGAGCCAAGCCCAGAGGTGTATTTCGCAACTTGACAGCACGACACGGTGTGCGGGGCAGGGCGTGGGGGAGAGGTCGACCAGCCTTTCGTTTACTTGGTTAGATGAAGGGCTGAGATATTGGCAACCCTGGTGTCACTCCTGATCAAACAAAAGATGCCCGCCTCCCCTCCAAAAAAAGGCATCTGCTGATCTAAGGAGCTCTCTCTGAAAACCACCCTGGCCTGAGTAACTCAAGGGTCATTCATCTTTGTTGCTTGTTCTTTGTTTCAAAGAGCCAAAGTTTGAGGAAAAGATCTCTGGCTTAGGGGGGTAGGAAAAGATTGGGGTAAGCTGATGAAATGTCAGTGA